TTTCCCTATTGTTTCATTCCAAGAAGGGGACAGAGTACGTACTGACTGCCTGTTGGAAGCACAGGTTGACAGTCTTTGTCTAATCTTGTACGTTTAAGAAAATGGATGGTTTACCAATTCAAAAAGTCTGGCAACAAAATGGAAAACACAGAACTACCCATAAGTAACATGAAAGCAAATGTTGAAGAAAAACAAACTCCTTCCTCATTAGTAAAAGCCATGTGAGGATAAAAAAGGTTATGTGAACTGCTGCAAGTAAGTATAGAGTACACTGAAAAAATAACTGATAAAGGAATAATTCAGTACAAAAATCACTTTGGGGAAATTACAAACAACCACTATAGATCTAACAGATTTATGTTTAAAAAATACTTTTATCTTCAGTGGTGAACAGTGAAGATGTTTATTAGACTAACTTGGTCAATAAGAGGCAATATAATTTTATATTTGATAGAAGGTATGGATTTTCTGTATGTAGTTATCACAAGTTGATGCAAGAAAAGAAAAAAATAACTAAATTCAAGTTTGAAAAGAAATTGGGAGTTTTAACTCTACATGTTCTGTGTCCATAAAGTAGTGAGGTTTAGGGTTTTTTAAAACATACGTGTTCTTCAATTAGATAAATAAAATTTATGTCAGAATAGGAGGATAGATGGAACAAGCAAAGAAAAACAAAGATATGAAAATTTTAAAAAGTTTTAAAAAAAAAATAATAATTTAAAAAAAAAATCTGCTACCTTGAAGTGCTTCTTCATAAAACAGAGCAAATAGAAAACATGATCGCAGCACCACAAAGCAATACAATCAACAATACCATAATGAATTATAAACTTAATATTCTATACATAATCCCCAAGATTATTAGAAACTGTACTGTAATCCGAAGAACCAGTTTACTTTTCCTGCCTTTCCCTGCATTCAAAAAGATTCCAAAAGATATCAGTGACCAAAAAGCAGCAGATGCCCTTAATACTGCTAGTATACAGCCGCTTCTTCACTAGGACAATGCCTGGTTTATTTCCTTATGTCTGCTAAAGCATATCTCTAATCTCATCAAGCACTGTGAAATTTCTGCTATGTAATATTCCTTATGAATACCTCATTACAAAGTTCAGACTTCAGAATCAATCTGATATTAGTAATTGTAACTGTAAACAGAAACAAAACATTTACAAAATTAAGACCATCATTAAGGCATACTTACATGCAAGCTTTTCCCATAGTATGGAAAGTACATTAAGTCAATCAAGCCTTCAGGAGGAAAATAATTTATCTCAACCATGCCTTCCTCCTGTGATTGGAGATAGTAACAAAATTAAAAGTTAACATCTGCTTGCATAAAAATGAATACAAAATTAGAGTTATAACCCAATGTTAAAGTGCAAGATCCCTAAAAAGAAGGCAACTGAGCTACAAACTCTTAGAATAACTTCCAAAATAGATTTATTTTTGGCAAACAGTTACATGCTGCACACATCTGCTACAGTAAGGATTATTAACAGTAGTATTTAAATTAGTAATCAAGTCAAGACAGCTTGCCTTCATGTTTTCCTTATGAGTCAAAGAAAAGAGGAGAAGGGAAGAGGATATCCATTGCAATGAATAATGTAACAACCACCAAAAAACCCCCATACATAAGCTAAAATCCCAAGCAAGCCTGTATATTTTGGTGAAGCAAGAGCACATCCATATTTACATTAAAAGATGAATTTCTGTTTAAAGCCAGGTTATTAAGCCTCTCAAATTTGGAAGAATACAACCCCTCACAAAGAACTATAGCCCCCTCCCTGCAATGGTGTACTATTCCTAATGTTTGTTCAGCTAGCCTGGGAATACAGGCTACCTAAAAGGAAACCCAAGTTTAAAATGGTGATATTACTAGAGTTTCTGTGTGTATCATCACCACGTTAGAAGAACAATATGCATGCCTTATTGCTCGACTTTCCCCTATAATCCCAAATCTTGTAATAAGAAGCAGCTACCTACAAAGTTGCTGCCTAATTTCTGACTAAGGAGTCACCCACTCTGTAAGATGTACAAAATATGTATATATGATTGAGCTGTCCCAGACACAGGCTACCAGTACAGTGATACCCAGACATGTCTCCCTGTATACAATATTCCTCAGGATTGTGTACCCTGGCAGGATGTCAAACTACCGCAAGTTCAAACCAGTAGGAAACGCCCATATCCAATGTGACTTTGTGTAATAAGGTAGACATATTACCATGATAAAGGGAAATGCCACTAAGCCCCCCAAAATGCTAAATGTATCTTCAAAACATCACTGCTTGTTCAGTGTAATTCACAACTTCAAAGTGCATTAGTAACTTGCATTGTTTTTTCTATACTACCATACACAACAGCTGCAATTTTAAAAAGATACACTACAAAGTTCAGAAGACAACTGCAGTAATAGAACTAAGCAAAAGAGGAACACAAAGATCAAAAAAATAGTAAAGAATAAACCACAGCTCAAGAATACCTTCCCCTCGCCTCCTCAAAAGAACACAAAATATGTTGTTTAGGATATGGCCACATTCTTGTTCCTTTGCAGTCTAAGTTATTGCAATTCTTCAAGATATGTTCATTAAGTATTTAATTAAGCTACCAAATTTAATTACTAAGTAGAAATGCGCTGCTTTTCACCATTATTCTTTATTTTATTTAAAGGTCATGCAGCTGAAAATACTCATTTTTTCAAATATATTTCCAAAATGCTGGTTAAGAAAAAACAGGATACAGAATAGCATAAGAAAGATAAATAGGATTAGCGCTTTCTGGAGCAGCTAAACACAAGGCATGCATGCAGTCATAAATATATACCCATTAGGCTACCAATGCAATAGCAGAGAGGTTCTGGGACATGCAACTGCCTGTCTCATGCAACTACTGTTGGGTTTGGGGTTTTCTTTAATAATTAATTAATCCTAATTAATATCCCTACACAATTATAAAGAAAACAACACCTAAATAAGCTGCATTTGCTGAAGGGATTCAAGAATCTGTCCATTAGTGAGTGTCACTTTTTCTGCTTACCATTTGCAATTTCCACAAAGCCTTGCAGACAGTCAGCAAATCTAAAAATCAGGCCACTTAGCTGGACAGACAGACTTCCACCTCACTTACTGGGTCTTTATTAAGACTGTGTCTTAGAAAGAATAATTTTGCAGATGTTTAAATAATGTACAAAGACCCAAGGACTGGTCTACAATCATTTGAGAAGAAGAAACGGTATCATTGCACAAGATAAAATTTACTGTGCTCTGCTCAATTAAATCACCTTTTAAGCAAAATCCACCTTCATCACTCAGATATTAAAGATTTCTGATGTAAAATGTAAAATTACTAGTAAGTTGCATTTGTGCTATGAACTGCACAAATATGCTCATATATTCTACGAAGCTAATATCCAGTGTGGGGTTTATTTTCAGAAATGCGTGTCACCTGGATTAAACTTTGCAGTACACCCTGAATTCTTTTAATCCACATTTACTGACAGCAACACAGAAGGAAAATTAAAAACCAAACCAAACCACCGCAACAGAACAAACCAGTTACTTAAAGACTAGGTGCATAAGAGAAGCAATAAAGAAGTACAAATGACCACTACACTTCAACTTCTGTTATGAGCCAGTATTTAGAGAACATTAAAATACAGTGGCAGATGCAATGCGATTATAAATTCCTCTGCAAAATGCACAAAAGCCTATTGGCTATCCTTCTCCACCCTTCTAGTGTGCACACAAGAGGGTCACAATTCACATCCTTGCATCAACAAGATCCAGAAGAGCCACAAGATATTATTTCTAGGTAAGCATTCACCTTACCCACTACAGAAGAGGAAGAGACCATTACATGGCACTCATATCCTAAAGAGTCAAAGAAATAAAAATGGAATTGGAAACAAGGCCTCATAAGCTCATGTGAAGGACAGCGTAATCGTTTAAGTAAGAGTTTCAATACACAAGGGGCATAACAGAAAGAAGTTGTTCTGTAAAAATGAAGCATAGACAAAAGGAGAAAATGAAAGTTGTTGATGCTGCTTCTTTGTTGATTACAGAGAAGGATGAATTGTAACCATTACTTAAACTTTCCTAAGCAGGTAAATCATGACGAGCTAGGGCAAGAATAGGCTAATTAAAATAGATGCATTCAAAGTGGCAAAGCCTGACAAATATTTTCCCTGGAAGTCGCTAAAGAACTAGTAAGATTATTAATCTTAAAATTTAAAAACACCACACTTGTGTAGATCAGAGAAATTCTAACTGGATATGGTAAAAAGCAGTACTTCGTACTTAAAGAAAGAGGATGCAAGAAAATACATACCATAACATACAATACAATTTATTTGTAAGTATCTCAAAGGGTAAAAAAATAGAGAAAAAACCCACCATGATCAACCAAGTTGTTATCAAACTTATTCTTTTGCTAGTGAAATCAGCTAAGAGGATAAGAAAAAGCATCGTCTGTGATTTGCTTAGTATATCTTTTACCACTGTCTCATAGAGCATCCATATAAGAAAGCTGAAGAAATACAATCATCGTAAAATAGGATTACCATCAGTATTTTATAAATCACTTGAATTAGTTCTCAACACATCACAAGGCATTTCAGGTGGAAAGGAAGATGACTGTCCTGGACCCTACTGGTGTTTTCAATAAAGACTTGCGACATGTAAAAGAAAATTCATTCATTGATGGCACCAAGCCACAAGTAGTTCACTTCAGAGAACTCGATCCCATTAAAATGATCATGAAATATTACAGAGGTGGGGCCAAAAATAGCAACATGAAATTCAAAGCTCTGAACCTCAAGAAATCACATACAAATACAGACTGGGAAATAACCAAAACAAAGATCTAAGTAGTAAAATGATTAAAATAAAGACTCAATGTATTACAAATGGCAAATTCACCTCAAGAGACATTATTACTTCCAATGTGATGACAGAGGGAAAAATTCTGTCATTAACAATACCTCAGCTAGAGGCGAACTTCTGTCCAGTTTGGGATACCACATTATGAAAAATGATAAACTAGAGAAGTCAAAGAAGAAAAGATTACTAGTAAAAGTAGAAGGAACTTAATTGCTTTTTCTAAAGAAACAAATAATTCCTCCAACAGAACAACATTTTTTAAGAATGGACACAAAGAAATCAGTCTCAAATAAGAGAAGGAATCACCTTTATCCGCAACACTGTCATGGGGAGATCAAAACTTTCAAAGACTCCACAAAAACCAAGTATTAAAATTTATGCCTACCACAGGTACCTAGGATGAAGGCAGGAACACTTACAGTATTTCTCTCATTAATTGCTGGAATTTCCCAGCCTACATTTTTATCAGTCACCTCAGGCTAAAAGCCATGACTCCATCCCCTGCTCAAGCTACTAACTTACCAAGGCTTTCACTGCTCCCAAAGCAGTCCAGGAAAAATATGCGGAAGTCAAAGTAATTATTATAGTTGCCATAAAAAATTCTGTGTAAATCCATTGGTACACAACAAATATGCATAGATTAGATGTTATTGTAAGTAGTTTGTACTTAATTTGAAGGCAACTTTTACTGGAACAGTAACATTAGTTTCCACACAGTGTCTTACCCATCATTTATAAAATTGTGTAAGGTGCACTTGCAGCATGGAGAAAAAATAAAAATATAGGTTATGAAATGGGAAAACAAAACACAACTCACAATAAATAAATTAATAAATAAATAAGACCACAAATAACATGTATGCATTTTCCTCGACTCTAAAGCAAGTCAGGTAGCTCAAATACATCTAACGATGAAAGAACAACAACAAAACCAAAGTATTTTAATAAGTACACTGAAGAAATTAAAGACACTAAAACTAAATTAGACATGAAGTAAGATGACAACAAGAAAAAATAAGTACAAAGACTAACAGGAAAGGAGGAGAGTGAAATAAATGTTCTGACACAGTATATTACTTCACTTTTCATCCTAATCACAAGGAAAATTAACTACACACTTATTTCTTACATTCAGAACTGACCTTAGACATACAGTGTATACGTGGCTCTCCTTCAGGCTTTAATCCAATTATCTAAAGGAGAGAAAGTTAAAATATTTATAGACTTTCTTCCCCTTTCCAGTTTTACAGACTGAATTTGAACTTTTCCCCCACTTAATAAGACAGAGTTCATACAGGGAGCAAATCTATATAGTGTCATTTTTATACGAAGCACAATTTTAGACTAGGACTAAGATTTAAAGCATTGTTAAGTTAAAGCTTAAAATGCTCACTTCATTTTACTCTCTGAAACACATGAATTGCTAGACATTTCCGTAAATTACACTATTCCAGAAATGCAAATATCTTGAAAGGCAAACTGAACGTGTATTTCAGTCCTTTTCTACAATCATTTTTCATACAGTGGTAGTTAGCAGCACTTATACTAAGAATTAAAAAATAAGTAGGCACTTACTCTGTTCACTTTCACAAGCACGCAGGGAGTTCCTTTAGAATAGCCAAAGGTCTTATCCTCCTTTCCAGAGCATTGTCCAAGATCAGAGAGGTTAAATCGACATGCCTTTTTAACAGCAACATCATTCTGGTCAAAAATCCTTCCTGGTGTACAGTTTATGTTTTGGGATTGCTTTAAATCATCATAGGCTATGAAACACAAATAGCTTGTAAATCGATGGTATAAAGCATACAAGTAGCCAAAAACCACAGAAGCCTATATAACATCTAATTTATAGTTGTTACTTGTCTAGGAGTTTTCTCAAAGGACTATTTTCAGAGCACTGTGTCTCTTATATCCATCTTAACAAACACTCACTTTTTCAAAGCCTATCAAGAACTGTCACTGTACTTGAATGAAAGAGCAAAAAGAGTATTACAAAAGAAATAATGCTGTCCTGTTTTTCGAATCGTATCAATAATCACAACTTCATTAATTTCTGTACATAAACGAATCCTGAGCTAATTATGTATTCTAAGCTAATAACGTATTATAATATAAACAATTTTTTACCTGGAAACTAAACCAGTTTTCCCTTTGCACATGTTTCTTTTATAAACACACAGGAAAACTTCAAGTATTTCAATGACTAATATTAAATTGCCTCTACATTTATATCAGGTAGTATAACTGATGTTGTACTAATATCTCAAATTGTTTCTCACTTTCTTGTGTTTCACAAGTACACAGATCACATTGTCACTAACACTTGCCTATTCACATTTTGTTGCCCTCCCTTACACCCCACCCCCAGCTAAGCATAAACAAAGTAAAATGGAAAAAGGGTAAGTTCATCCTCAATGCAAGAGTCCAAAATCCACTGAACTGCAGGAGAGGCAAGTAATCATGCAATGTAGCGTTCCTCCCAGGAACCCCTGGCAGAACTCTGAAAGAAAAGCCTACTCATAGAAGCTTTTAGCAGGCACCAAAACTATGAATCCAGACAGATTCAGGTATAGCTTGTGTAGCTAACAAAGCGACTCATGCACACAGGTGAGGTTTTACAGCACCTCCTCAATTCTGACTTACAACTTTTGAGGGGTTAAACTTACTGATATTTTAAATTGATTTCTGTATTTCTAGATTAAGCTTACATACAGGCACATATATAAAATAATGTATGGCTTAAACTAGCGATTTTGCCATCCTTCAGTCTTGTCCTGTGTTACCTTTCTCTCCATGTTCTAAACCCAATGTTTTAATATTTCTGCCTGTAAATACTGTGTATCAGGGCAAAAATGAATGAATTGCAATCAATTTAATCTTTGTGTGCCCTCATTTTTTAAACAGGCAAACACTCAAGTTCTTAAGACTAAAGGATTCTCACTCAGTTACCAAGCCATTTAGATGAAGACTGATCAGTTAAGTCTTGATAAACTTTGCCTCCAAATACACGACCTATGTAAGTTTACATTGAATTCTTCTGGCATATGTAATTTCTACATCTTGTAGTATTTAAACAACCATGTCACCAAAACACTGGGCGAGGACCCCAAACCCCATTATGTACTCCACTATTCCTCACGCTCAGACTCCCTGTCCAATATAGCTATTGATACTTACCTTTCTCTGTTAAGTATATACTTTAATAACATGCATGTCTAGAGTAAGCCTGAACTTGCATCAGTTTTCATTAGCAATTGGTAACTACAAGCAAAAAACAAAACTAATGTGCTCAACATTAAGACTCCTGAATTACCTGGACAGCTTTAAGTAACTTACATTCAAGAAATTTTCTAAGCGTAGAAACGTATTCTGCGTATGACTGGGCATCACTCTTGTTAAAGTAAAATTCCAATGCATTGTCTGGCTTTGGTGAAATCATAAGTCCTTAAAAAGAAAAAGTGCAAGTAAAGAACTAAACAACTTATCTTCCCTATACCACTCTAACCTACTCAAAAATCATATCCATAAATTGGAAAATATCTATCTGTAAAGAAACATCAATGTTACCCCTATATTCCACAGTACTGCAAAGTAGTTTGTGTTTGAAGTCAGTTATCAAAATCAACATTACATGAATCAATACTTAAATTCAATCCAATGTATAACTGCAATTGACAAACCAAACCCAAGTGATTAGGAATAGCAAAATCAGCAACTTAATCACTTTCAATCAAAGAATTTTACTGATTCACTTCCCACTTTCCATATTCAGCAAATTAAACTTAAAAAATAATTGAAAAAATACCCAAAACCAAAACCAGAAAGCCTCCAGTTAAAGCTATGCTTCAAAGCTTTAGGCAATGTAGACTGAAGCTATGATTGTATTAATCTCATAGAAACCCAAAGGGAACAAAGTATTTTTAAAAACTTTGTAATGCATGAAGATGGCTTGAAAGATTTCCCAATCAAAACAGACAAGCCAAGTTAATTGTTAGTCCTTTCCTTCTCCTCAAACAGAAAGTTTAGATGTCATCTGTTTCATGGAGAATAGAAGAAACTATCAAACCACTGCACACGTGTCACTTGAAGGGGTACACCTTAGTCAGGCTGCGGTAACTACGAATGCTCTTGAGCTGCCTCCCAGGCTGCCAGCACCGGACGCTGCAGCAGGCGGGAACCCTGACTGTTGCAGTGGGGGCCCATGGCTGGCTTCATTCAGCTGCTGGCTGAGGGTGCTGGAACAGGAGCGAGCTACAGCCAGGGAGCCAGGACCAGCAGCAGAAACAAGAACACAGAGTACCGAATGCTGAGGTCCAGCTTTGCTTTGAAGGATGAAAAAGGCAGACGCTGACATGGAGTTTGGGCCCTTGATAGAGCTGAACTGTCCTTCTTCCCAGGATATGGGTAAAGAAAGGCACAGAGTTAAATCTTAGGGATTTTTTTGTAGCAGGTGAAAGCAAAAGGCACAGACTGCTAATACATACAGCCCTGTACCATCAGGACTTATCACTAACATGGATACCCAATGCTACTATCATTCATCACAGCTTCAGTAGCAGATGGAATAGCACTGCACCACCAGATATTGCAGAAGAGATTAAATCTGTTCAAAAAAGGGTGTATGATTGATTGCTTTATTCACACTACCTTAAGGTAACTCTTAGTTAATATAAATAATTAGAACACATAAAAATGCTGCAGTTGTGATTAACAGATGAGTGTCCATGCATCTGTCTCTTCAAGTACAGCTGAGAACTGACATTGCAGTTCCACAAAAGAAAAAAAAAAAAGAACAAAACCCCAACCTAATTTTTTATCTGGTTAGTTTTCTTCTAAGTTAGAATTTTAAAATGGTTTGATCAAAGCAAAATTTGGCATAAGGGAAGAAGTTACAATTAGTTGCTGCTGTAATTGGATCAGCTTGGGATGCCATGTAGTTTCCTATCCTCTGGCAAAACCAATTAAAACTGGATTTCCAAATGAATAAAATTTAAGGCAGAAAACAAAATCATCTCCCAAAATTAAAAAATAAAATAAAAATAACAATATACAAAACAAACATTTAAGAAGTGTCCTGACTTCAGCTGGGATAGAGTTAATTTTCTTCCTAGTAGCTGGTATAGCGCTGTGTTTTGGATTTAGGATGAGAATAATGTTGATAACACACTGATGTTCTAGTTGTTGCTGAGTGGTGTTTATACTAGTCGAGGACTTTTCAGCTGCCCATGCTCTGCCCGGTGCACAAGAAGCTGGGAGGGGGCAGAGCCAGGACAGCTGACCCAGGCTGCCCGAAGGGCTGTTCCACACCATATGACGTCATGCTCAGCATATAAAACTGGGGGGAGTTGGCCAGAAGAAGTCTGGGCGTCGGTCGATGGGTGGTGAGCAATTGCATCACTTGTTTTTCCTGGGTTTTGCTTCTCTCTCTCTCTCTTTTGGGGAGTTGGAGAAGAAGTCTGGGCGTCGGTCGATGGGTGGTGAGCAATTGCATCACTTGTTTTTCCTGGGTTTTGCTTCTCTCTCTCTCTCTTTTCATTACTATTTTTTTTTTAAAATTTTATCTCAATTATTAAATTGTTCTCATCTCAACCCACAAGTTTTCTTACTTTTGCTCTTCAGATTCTCTCCCCCATCCCACGGGGGCAGGGGGATGGTGTGTGAGAGAGTGACTGTGTGGTGCTTGGTTGCCAACTGGGGCTAAACCACAACAGAAGATAAGACTACAGTGGGAAGATAAAGTTGGGTAAGTTGTCTTAATGTGGGATTGTTAATACTTTACTGTAGCCAATCAATCAGGGTGAGCTTTTGGAAAGCATATAGAAAGTGCAATTAAGCAGCCCAGGTCTAGTAAGAATTCACCTATAGAAATGACCAACCTTCTCATCCGAAGGCAGAAATTATTACAAATATGTTAAATTGGTAAATAATAAAGGTATATACTAGAAATTTATCATAGACAAACATCTTTTAGATTATAAAAAAAACCAGATATAATTCAATGCTGTTTTACTCTACCTTTTTTGTATGATTTCCAATAAATCATAAATTCTCCTTTCTGCCTTAGCAGCAGTTAAATTATTTCCAGGCAAGCCACAACTAAATGCCTTAATGACTGCCAGTCCACATAAAACTACAAATACCATTTTTGACTGCAAATTACTTTGCACCATTACAGTCATCTTCTGGCCTCCACACTGAACTGGGATTCAACAAAATATAAGCTAATTAGTAACAGGGCTGAAAAATTGCTGAAGGGGTTTTTACACACTAAGGGGTTTGGGGGGAGAAGAGATTGTTATTATCTATAGCATTATACTGTAAATGAAGGACTTAAATGCTGTTTTTCAAAGTGAGTATGACACAGTAACTAAGCTAGTCATCAATGAATGAAACAATAATTTGAAGAGATTTATTGCTTCAGGGGAACTTCAAAAACATCCCAAGAGGAAGGAACTGCTCTAATTCCAGTGGATCACAGTCTGCCTAGAGACTATGGTGTAGGTTCTACAGAAAAAGCTATTTGAAGGACTGATGCATAGACTGTGAGAGATGCAGGATTTGGGCTCTTGTAAAGGAACAGAATTAGCAGTCTCAATACAGGATCACATCTAGGATTGTAAAAGAGATTAAATTATCCTACAATTCCAAGAGGGATTTAAAAAAAAAGGTTTTAAAATCATCTGGATTTGATTGATACTATATCCCAGTGCACAATGCAAGTCAAATATCAATTATAAAATAAATCAACTGTGAGATTTCCAAGTATGTTTAACACAAGAGTAAAACCTTTGACCTACACCATCCAGGTTTTGTGTGTAGAATTTTTTTTATAATTTAAAGTTTACAGCCAGGAACATGACATGTTTCACTGCAAGTGAAAAATGACAGAGTTAAAGAGCAACATTAAAACAGAAATAAACAATTTTATTAACTTTTATGTATGAGTAATTAAAGACATTGTTTATAAAAAGAATTAATTCAGAAATGTTATAGGAATTTTTAAATTAATAGCTGATTGTTGAAAACATACTTTTCAAACAAACATCCGTTATGACTTATTTAGAAACAAAGGAAAATTAACACCCTGAACTGCAAGAGGCACGAGAGAAAAAATGCCACTCAAGTCCAGTATTAAGTCACAGCTACCCACAGCTCCATCCACTACAACGTTCTGACTACCACAAAGGAAATGGGGAGAAATGGTCAACTAAGCCACCTTCTTTTTTTTCTTTCCCTTTTTTTCCCTTTTTCTTTTTTTTTTTTTTTTAAACTAAGCAGGTCTTTTTATTATTATTATTCTTTCCAGCATTTAGCCCATTCTTCGCTTGAAAAAAAAGCACAAATTCTCAAGAATCCCTTATAAGAAGAGGACACTTGTTAGAGAAGGCCTGAACACTACATCAAAACAAATTCTGTTCAGAATCCAGAGACATTTATCATGTTGGCCCAATTGCAACTTGCTCACACAGAAACTACTGTTTCATCTTAAGGGTTGATGCAGCTGCAAGATGCTGGTTAATTTTAAGAGGCCGGACTTCAAAAAAAGGAAAAAGTATTTTAAAAAATAATGTCATCTAACTTCCCAAAATATTAATATTGCATAGCCATTTAGTTTTGTTGTGTCTTAAACATAAATTTGGTCCCTAAGCCAAGTTGTTATAAAATTGGAGATATCTTATAAAATTTTCAGGTGGCCCAATCATTTAAGTTACCTATACAAATCAAATACTTACACATTCTCCAGAAACAGTAACTAGAAAACACTAATCTCTTTGGTGTAGTTAAAGTATGCAGAAGCATCTTTTAAATCTTTCAGAGTGAAAATCCTTTTTTTTTTTCAATATGGAGATACACCAAAATAGAGCCTATAATGACAGATTTTTGTGATTATTTAAACCAATCTTTAAGAAAAAAAAAAATTTAAAAGTAAAAAAAGAAGGAAAAAAAAGAAAAAAAAAAGAAAAAAGACAAGCACCTTAATAATTTCTTCTTTGTGCAGGGTTTTTTTTCTGTCACATATAGCTCTTTGAACCAGCCAACAGTGGCACTGGATGGGCATGTACACAAAGGAAGCAGTAGTTGCAGGAAGCAAGACACCGCTTTTAGTGGCAGCTACATGTTATGTGGACTTAGCTTCATCATAAAACAGGACCCTCTCTCTTCAGTGGATCCCTATATAATATGTCAACAACCCCTGGAATCCACAGACATTCCACGTCGGTTGAAAGCTATCTAATACTATAAGGAAAACTCTGGAAATGCCTTCATATCATAGTCCTTACACACTCTCGAGCGGATCAGCCCCATAGTACAGCCTTCCTGTACTTTCTTCAAAGTGTCAAGTCCCTGTGATCAATATGTTCAAATTCAACTGAAAAGAACTTAGAGAAAAAACAGCTAATGTTAGCACATACACACAAAAAGTTCTGACTGAATTTATGCTACAAACATATATAACTTGCCTCACACTGAGTTTCACCTTTGAAACCTGTAAGTAACTGAATAATAATCACAGTTTCCCATAGACAGTTCATACTTCAAACAAACTTTCAAATGAAACTTAGCTGTTAAACCAGACAGAGGTTTATGAAAAAATAAATACACTGTTACCTGGACTAGAAATCCGGTCACGATATTTTGGTATATCACTGCTCAGTGTCTGAAGCATAACCCACATTGTGAATGTGAAGAGCGCTGCTAGGAAGCCATAAAATACCAGATAGAATAGTAAGATCAAACCTGTAAAGAAAAAGCTAAAATTACTATTTTCGTTTCAGCTAATTCCATTACCTATTTTGAAAATCAAAATGGGAAATAAGCAATACAATGTTTGGTTTTGGTCCCTGTCCTCAATCTCTTGCCACTCCTAATTATAGCTATAAATCAATATGCCTCTAGCATACATATGTATTGCACAGTGCAGAATAATGGGTGCAAAAACGTTTTCTTCATACTTTCTGGCTCTTAAAATTTACAGGACATTTTGGTATCTCTATTTTTAAGAGAGAAGCATTAAAAAACGCTCTTTGGGCTACACAGAAAAGCTGGCAAAGATTACTAAGCAGTCCATTAGGAAAAAAATAGTTTTGCTTGTTTAATTATAGTTTTGTATCTGGAAAGGAAGGGGTTGCAGGGAAGACAAAAGAACGGAGTGAAAAGATAAAATTATTACACTGGATCCAGAAGAGGTAGGAAGCGATTGGTGCTTTAATAACATAGTTGATATTTGAGAGAACTCCACACAGAGCATTCATTCACACATACGTCCTGTTACACGAGACTTCTCAAGGTGAAAATGCTTTCTGCTGCATGTTTTTGAGAACGAACCAAGCCTTCTATTCAGCCTAATCAAAAGTCTTTGCCTCATACATCCACCTGCTTTACCACTCTACCTCGGGGACAGGGCAACGTTCCTGGAATTCACCAGCTACACAGATGTTACTAGCTTCGATTTGACAGTTGCTTAAGGAAGAGCTCCTCAAAACCTGAGGAAACAGCCTCAAGGAAACAGCCTATTACGACGCTGTACCTCTTCATCACTTAGCTGCAACAAGTCGCTAAGTGAGAACATTACTTAGGAAAACAGCTTGAAAACTTACTATGATGAAGTGTTTTTATTTTTTTCCTTGTCGTCCCGCCCCCCCCATTTTTCATTATAAGTGCACAGACACACACTCTGGATACACAGATCAGTTGTTTACTGACAAGACAAGGTAACAGACTTACTTTAGAGATGACAGGGACTCAGATCAGCTGCAGAGATTGTCAAAGAACTTTCTGGCCGTTTTCTCAGAGGTATGATGCATAACCCTCATTTAAAAGCCTTTTAAAATTTAGGACAGCTCAATTATTTTAGTAACTAAGTTTTCAAATAAGGATTTGTATTCTTGCATTATTTGGTTTTTGACCCGGATGGATTCATGTTAGTGTATCTCATTAAAGCAAAAAAATAATAGCATACTTTTTGCTACATTTCCTTGGTTTTGTTTTCAGAAGTTCTGAGAATATGTATTGATGATTACTATTAGCTTACCTTTTAAAATTTACATTTACCTGGAGATAGTTCCCAACTAAAGATGAAGCATACATACTATACGGATGAAAGACTTACTAAAAGACATTTAAGATTCAACAGAAATTATTTTATTAATCGAGTATACAATACTAACCTAAAAAAAGAGCATTTTAAGACTGAACACTTAAGGACACATGCACAGACATTGTCAAAAAGAATGAGAGCTATACAAGTATTGAGGATTTCAGATGCTTACAAAGAGAGCCATCTTCAAAACCTTTCTAATTCAAAAACATAACAATGATGCAAATTCAATTTTTATAAAATATTCTAGCTATAAGGCTGCTACCAGGAAGCCAAAGAGATAACACTCAGGTCAAGAAAAGCACATCAAAACTATTACGTAACATTCTCCACTGACAGTTGATTATATGAGAGAATCTACTGCAGTATTTTTCACCCTTCCATAGAAAAGGAAAAATCAAAACCAAAAATGACCGTACCCCAGTGATGTGTACTGTCCATCAGAAGATGACAGAAGGAAGCCAAACCCCTGGCTCCTATCCCAGAAACTACGCTTGTATTTTATACTGCAATATTTTCTAGTGTACTACAGCCCCCCGTAATCCATGACTGCTAAACACGCAAGTACCTGTATTACTTCTCCTGAAAGAATTCATAAAATAATGAGGTGGTTCCCAAATTATCTGTACCATAACATAAATTCTCTGCAGCAACCAGCTCAATGTTACTGGATTTTGGTTTGGTTTTAGTCTTCACTTTCACATATTGAGAAAGTTACTCACCAATCTGCAATATCTGAAAGTGATCAGTTATTTAAGATACTTTTAGGAACCACTGAGAGGTAAGATACAATGCAGTGATTAGAAGTTAAGTAGCCAAGTATGTGAACACAAGAACAAGCTTACTCTATAATGAACAAGACAGCCAGACATCTATTATAAACTATTTCTAAGGCTATTTAGAAGCTGAAAAGAGCATATAAAAACAAATAGTAGAAATCCTAATCAACAAATGCCATTACGGAAGTTGCATCTGTATTTGGCACACCAGCAATTTGCTTTACCTGTAAGCTTACAATTGCTTTAACTGAATCCAAAACACAACAATGATCTTCTGATTAATACCCAATGTATTTTCAGTATCACAAAAACAAACAAACCAACTCCCTTACAAAACCTTTGGTCAGCTCTCATTTTGATCCCTACAAGTTAATCAATTATTGAACACACTTTCATCAAGTTGTCTAAAAAGTACGCTTTCCATCAGGTGGCCAAGACATTCATCAATCGGTTCCAATGGAACAGAAAAAAAGTTTGACATTTAAGACAAGACAAGCACCTTCTGTGGCAATTAGCATAAAAGCAAGAAAGTCAGGGAAATCTTTTTCATTGAGCTATTTCAGAATACATCTGTATTTTAATTTCCAAAGGATGATGCCTAACTTCATCAGGTAAAAAACAAATTAAAAAAAATCCCTGCCCACTTGTTTATTACTGATGGGCATAACAGCACTAGGGTGGTGCATTTCTAAGCAGACACAGCCCTAAGTATAGCACTGCTTTGGGCCAATACTACCATAACATCTGCAATACTGGCCTTGGACTTCATTTTGAAGCACCTTGAAGAGCGGATCTAAGCCTGCTGCAGCTCTCTTCCTTTGCTCCCTCTGTCGAGGCAACAGTGCCTACCCACCTACACAGCCTCTCTGCTCCCACGGGGAAGGGGTCTGCTGGGGTCCTCCTCCTGCCAAGAGCTGCAGCAGGGCAGAACTGCTATGTGTAGGCAATCCCTGGGAGCCCTCATACCCACAGAGGGAGCGCCAATACTGGGGAAAACAAGAGGGACCCCAATGTCTAAAACACAGTGACCGACTCCATGGTGGAGACTGCAGCGTGAGCAGTCCCTTACGGAGTCCTCGTCCCTCCCAGCAACAGCATATCCACCGGGGGCTGCAGCAGTAACAGGGCTAGAAAGGCTGTTTCTATTCACGGCCCTGAAACTCCACTAACCTCCCCCAGTCCAGCAAAGCGCACATGCGCGCGCACGCACACAGATTATTTTTAATCTTTATTTTAACATAGCTTGTAAATGCACTGCAGAACACTGACCACTAGACTAAACTGCCCCGTTTATGCTACTTTGCCACATTAAAAAGAAGGAAAAAAACAAACAACAAAAAACCCCTCTGCAATTTCCAACCACCCCAAACTGAGTAAGCTGCTCTTTGTGAGACTATTAGTATTAATTAACCTAAGCTAATCACAGTGAACAAGCCATAACCTGTCAAGAAGCTCTGCCAAAATAACTTCACGTAACACTGGATTTCTTGTCAGGAAACAAGATGTACCCAAGTAACAGTGGAAAGCTATCCTCCACATTTACTCCAAGGAAAGTACAGCTACCACATCTAACACGCAACTCAATTCAGCTGTTGCAGAACATTTTGCTACACCAAACCCTTCGAGTCTCTCTCAGTCTTTGACACTCGAACTGTCACACAAGGAAAACTGTCAAAACCAAAATTCTGCATTAAAATTTACCTAGTTGGGTTGTGGGTTTTTTTGTTTGTTTGTTTGTTTGTTTTTCTTTTTGCAGGGCATCACAGTACCAAAAACCCTTCATATCCTAATCACATGGATAAGCAACAGTCAAATCTGGAAAACTGCTATTTCTGAACCAACATGTTGGTGCCGTCATTACCTGGAGTTCATTTGCAAGGATCAAAACACTTCTCCACTATGAAAATTAGAATTTCTGACTCTGATGAATGCAAGATATCAGATACGTGGCCACCATTTCCATGATAAATACAAGCTTTCCAAACTTTACATGGGAAAAGTGATAAAAAGCATGTCAATCTGGCATAAACCAGATTGGCAGATCTACCCGTATGTAATACATAGGTAGATATATACAGGTATCAATATAAACACTCTCACAAAAGACATGGAAGCAACTATTCAACATTACCTGCAACAACGAAAATGAAATGCTGTCTTTATGGTTTGCTGGATTCCATGCTGCACTGATCTTATCACCTGCATGATCACTCTTCAGGATCTTTAACTAGTGGGATTTAAATACCTACGTAATGTTACTAGTGACTACCACCAATGCCAGCAACATCAAGAAGGACTTTTGGTCCACCTGCAGATGGATTTCTTTCCCTTAAACTAACATAACTATACATATTAGATAAGCACTAATCATATTTCAATTTTATTACCTAGACACTTGAGAATTACTGTTTTCCCAATTTTGGGGATGGTAGGGGGAGGGAGAGGAAGAAAGCGGTAAGGAAGACTTCAGGAAGAAATAAAACCTCGGTCCTGTGTTACAGTTTATTTCACAATAAGCCAGGGCTCCACATGTAACATGGCTAAACACTTCAGGAGACAATAAAAATTGTCAAGTGCAACACTTGCAAAGAATCACAAAAGCCAGTGCTTAATGTCATAATTAAGCATTTACAAGATTTAAAAAAAAAAAAAAACCCTCACTGTACCACCAGAGCTTGCTGATACCTACAACAAGAGAAGGCAAGCCTTCTTTTTTCAGAGCAATCTGTGTCATGGAAAATAAAATACTCTACTGATTTCTCAAATATTAATTTCTTATGATAGGCGATATCATGGAAAAGTTTAGTAAGATTTCGACTGCAGTCGTATTCCTGGCTGTGCAGGAATTTTTATGTGAACTGTCCATCTGCCACAATACAAAAAAAGAGCACCGTCTCTCTCCAGTTCACAACTTGTATGTGCAAGTGCTTCTACTGCAACGGCAGAGTTGTGCCAAAATGTTTAATATTACGCTACCTGTGAAGAAAGCTAAATCACAACAAAATCCTGCTCAAAACACTAATAAAAAACACAGAAGAATCAAGTCAGAAAAGCAGTTAAAACTTTGAACAGCACGGTATGTCCCAGCAATAACTCGGTGAAGACTAAACAGAAGTAGAACTGGATCTTTCGTTACGATGACTGACAGGACTGTACATCCATTGACATGGTGGAAAGCTTTCCTAAAAATAAGGTGTTGGGCTTTGTTTGTTTGTTTGTTTTAATTTTAAGCACATATTTGTGCACTGAAGGATACAGCTAAGCATTCAAAAGAATATTCAGTAGGTCTGCATTTCTGTGTACTTCAAGACAATGCCACCTCTACCTTGAACACCTTGACACAACTAGCTTTAGAGAAAGGCTTAAATAGGTTTGACGTGACGTCTAGTGTGACCATAAATGAAGTACTGCTATACTCTATATTGCCAATTTTTTTTTTGGCACAAATTATTTTTCTGTAACCTTGTGTAAAGAATTTACTGTCTATACTGTAAGATTATGAACACATTTGAGTGTGTAGTGAGCATCCCATTACAATACTTTCATGATGATCTCACTCTGTTCTTGCTATAATTCTAGGCAGGCACAGCGCCTTGCCATTACAGGCAGAGCCAGATGGTAATCTTCCTTTTACTTACAGGAAGGCCCCACATGGCAGTCTTCCAAGTTCTCCTTTCTTTGCCCTACCTGATTACACCCTGTGTGGAACCCCAGGACCAACTCTCCTTCCCATCACCTCTGCGAGAACTATTAGCACCCCTGATGCCTTGTTGCTGAGAATACCACCAACTCATCAACAGTTTTTTCCAGTATTTTTTGTCTCTTTAATATAACAAATGATTATGCCAGATAATTAAAAATGAAAGGGGTTTGGTGAGGGTTTTTTGTTAGATTTGGATACCGATTTGTGAAAGATTCAAATTGAATTATCCCTCAAGTCTGCAAAAAGTAAAGTACAAATCTCTCATTTTTTACAGCAAGAGGAGACTTAGTACAGGTTTTTTACCAAACTGTAAAAGGCAACATACCTCTGTTACATGACAAATGAGTATAAGAGCTGCCTGTGTTTGATCTTTTTACAAATCCTGGTGTAGAAATGCCAGATAAAGATGAGTACTCCAATGCCACAGCACTCAGATTCAAAGAATCACTGCCTTGCAGTTACAATGTACATAAGCCCCCAGGACTGCCTCAGACTAGGGCAAAACGTGCACATACTGTGAATAATTATTTAACGGTTTCTCTACTGCTTCTGTCTTGTTTCTGTGAGGAAGCTGTCTTGAGACAAGAGAAATATGCATGGAAGAATCAGAGCCAACTGAATTCTTATCATGCTGCCCCTGGAGACACCACAGCTGAGCAGACTGGCAACCAGAGCTCTCTTCTCCTACCTCCCCGCCTTCCAGAGGGGATACAGGCAACAGAAAAAGAACAATAGTCAGTGAGACCGCTCTAAGCTCACATCAGTACAGCAAGGGCAGAAGTAACACCAAATCCTGCATATTCTTCTGTGCCAACAGAGCCACTCAGTTGGCACTGGTGCGGCTGCACCTCGAGTGCTGTGTTCAGTTTTGGGCCCCTCACTACAAGGACATCGAGGTGCTGGAGCGTGTCCAGAGAAGGGCAGCGAAGCTGGTGAAGGGTCTAGAGCACAAGTCTTAGGAGGAGCAGCTGAGGGAGCTGGGGTTGTTTAGTCTGGAGAAGAGGAGGCTGAGGGGAGACCTTATTGCTCTCTACAGCTACCTGAAAGGAGGTTGTAGGGAGGTGGGGGTCAGTCTCTTCTCCCAAGTAACAAGTGATAGGGCGAGAGGAAATGGCCTCAAGCTGCGCCAGGGGAAGTTTAGGTTGGATATTAGGAAAAACTTCTTCACCAAAAGGGTAGTCAGGCATTGGACCAGGCTGCCCAGGGAAGTGGGCATCCCTGGAGGTGTTTAAAGGATGGGTAGACGTGGTGCTCGAGGACATGGTTTAGTGGTGGACTTGGCAGTGCTAGGTTAACGGTTGGACTCGATGATCTTAAGGGTCTTTTGCAACCTTAATGATTCTATGATTCTAATTGGTGTTCTGCGATTAAAAAATAAAAACCAAACAGAAAGCCACACACCACCCCCCAAACAGTCAAAGACTATAATTTACTTAAAATATATAATTAAGTTAAATAAGCACAATATGTTAATCACAAAATGCCAGGACAAGTAAATATTGATGAAAAAAAATACACTGACAATTTATAGCACTGCTGAACGGTCACCTCTTAGTGTCCAGGCTAAGGAAAAGGTATATAGCACTAACCACATACCAATCACCTAAACCACTTGAGAAAACTTCTTAATTAAGTAAAATTATTCAAACTGCTATCTAAGCCTATACATACTTTCTCAATAAGGAAAAACATGTTTTATCAAGGGAGCTGGCCATAGAAACTCAATTACCAGCTAAGTAGTATCAATTTCAAGTGTTATCTATTGGCCTTGGACTAGAAACATTTTAAGTGACTTATCCTACTAGATAGGTTTAAACAGAGAAGGTTGTTTCAACTTCTTTTTTTTTTTTTTTTTGAAAAAGTTACAAGCTATTTCTAATGTGCCCGCAGTATTTGTGCCTGTCAGATTCACGACACAGACTTCTGCAATCCATACACCCATTCACCCAGCCCACACACATCAGGAAACCTGCCTGTACAGAAAGATCACTAGACAGCAGGATAGTGGAAATTTCCTCTCCTTTGCTATTCAACTGGCAGAGTAGCTCGCAAGCTCTTATTTCCATCTGAATGGAGGAGAACTCGTGTCAGAGCTAGGGCCCTCTCTTGATAGACAGGAGACATTGGCACTGCAAAGAAAGCACACCCCGTGCACAGTCTGCTTAAGGCTCCTCCTCACTATTTCAACATTAGTATTCATTGAGATTGTGTCAAGGCCAAGGATGTATTGGCCTGTTCCTTTATGCCACGCTGAGATTCTTGTTGGTTTTGTAAGCACAACTATTAAGTATCCCAACTACATCCAAGTTTTGGGAGGAGACGCAGCATTTTCTGAAGTCAGTAAATATGTCCCACGAGGACTGAAGAAACATCCTAATATTAAGCATTTATACAACTGTTTAATATGAGAAAACACACTCAGAAAATCCAAATATTTTTATTGGAAGCGACAAGATTATGATAACATGCTTTCCAGCTCAGAGGAAAGCAATGGGAAGACTACCTGAAAGTAGGAAAACAAACACTGCCTTCACAAGCTTTACTGGACAATCTTCATTTAAAAGCTTCATTTAAGAAAAATAGAAGGCCCAGAAGCCCTACGTTGGAACAAATTTAGCACAGTGACGCGCAGTAACACACAGCGATCATTCTTTCGTGGACTGTCTGGAATTGGGGCTCATAAACTTTTTGGGTTTTGGGGTGTTTTTTCCCTCTCTGATCCGTCGCTAACGCCTGGAAGTACGAAGGCGATCGGCGCTCATTCATTCTCGGTTTCCTGCGACGCAGGGGAGCGGGGCGGGGGTCGGTAAGGAACGGACGGAGCGGAGCGGCTGCGCCCATACGCACGCAGGCTGCCATCAACCGGGAGAGAGAAGCGCGGGCGGGAGCCGGCCCCGCACCTCCGCGGCGGAAGCCCGTCAACCAC